TTTCCATACCCAATTGAGTGTGTATGTTATTCCCTCCTTAAGCCAAATCCAATGAGAATAAGATTCACTCATTCTCTCTCACCTTCCCCTACTCCCCTTCCACTATAAAAGCTTTTTCTTGTCTGTTATGTGAGATAATTCACCCCATTCTACCTCTCCCTTTCTCCTTCTCCCAGTATAATCCTCTCAATTTTATTGTCCAAATATCACCCCTTCATCTTCAATTCACCCTGTGCCCTTTATTTATCTATCTATCCATATATAAATACATATAATTTTTTCCCTCCAACTACTCTACTACTGACAAAAGTCTCATGAGTTACAAATATCATCTTTTCATGCAGGAATGGGAACAGTTCAACCTTAATAGTCTCTTATGATTTCTCTTTCCTGTTTACCTCTTCATGTTTCTCTTGAGTCTTGTATTTGAAAGTCAAATTTTCTATTCAGCTCTGGTCTTTTCATCAAGAATGCTTGAAAGTTCTCTACTTCACTGAATGTCCATTTTTTCCCCTGAAGGATTATACTCAGTTTTGCTTGGGTAGGTGATTCTTGGTTGTAATCCTATCTCCTTTGACCTCCAGAATATTATATTCCAAGCCCTCTGGTCCCTTAATGTAGAAGCTGCTAAATCTTGTGTTATCCTGATTGTGTTTCCACAATACCTGAATTGTTTTCTTTCTGGCTGCTTGCAATATTTTCTCCTTGAACTGGGAACTTTGGAATTTGGCTACAATATTCCTAGGAGTTTTCCTTTGGGGATCTCTTTCAGGAGGTGATTGGTGGATTCTTTCAATTTCTATTTTGCCCTCTGGTTCTAAAATATCAGGGCAGTTTTCCTTGATAATTTCTTGAAAGATGATGCTTAGGTTCTTTTTTTGATCATGGCTTTCAGACAGCCCAATAATTTTTAAATCATCTCTCCTGGATCTATTTTCCAGGTCATTTGTTTTTCCAATGAGATATTTCATATTGTTTTCTATTTTTTCATTCTTTTGGTTTTGTTTTACCATGTCTTGATTTTTCATAAAGTCACTAGCTTCCAATTGCTTCCAATTGTTTCATTCTGTCTTTTTGTGGGTTCTGCTGCTTTAGAATTTATTTAGAGCCATTTTTCACAGGTATTTGGAGTAGTCTGGGGGACAGCTCAAGCAAGTCACTGCTTTTACTCTGCCATCTTGGCTCTGCCCCCTCAGTTCTTTCCTTTTTAAAATCATGTTGGCTAATGCCTCACTAATTTTGCTGTTGTTATTGAATCTTTTAAAAAGTGTTTAGTTTTATTTATTAATTCTTTTTTTTGTTTTTGTTTTGTTAACCTCTCCTTTGATTTTCAGGATTTCTTTTGGTATTTAATTAGGGGTTCTTAACTTGTTGGTTTTCAAAAATTTTTTAGTAACATGGACAATTCACTGATTTTATCTTCCTTTCTTTTATTGATGAAAACATTTAGAGATATAAAAATTTGCCTAAATACTGCTTTAGCTGCATCCCCAAAATTTTGATATGTCGTCTCATTGTTTTCAGTTGTTAATGAAATAATTTGTTTCTGTGTTTTATTTTTATTTAGTTTTCAATTAATTTTTAATCTTTCCTTCAAAGACTTGACTGAATATAATTTTTATTTCAATAAATTTATTGCACAAATTATATATTAATACTTATGCATTTCTGTATTTTTGAGTTATTTGAGTATTAATACATGGTCATTTTTTTTGTGAAGGTGCAATGCATAGCTAAAACATAGGTATACTACTTTTGTCATTGAATATTTTCTAGAGGGCTATCATAAGTAACTTTTCTAAAATACTATTCAGGTCCTTCATTTCTTTTTTTGTTTCTTTTTGTTATTTTTCTTAGTAATAATGTATTTAATGAGAAGTAGCATGAATACAAGTATAATTCCTGGCACACAATTGGTTAACCCAGAGCTATTTTACCAGAAGAGAGAGGATTTTACCCCAGATGACAGGAAACAGCAAAAACAGAAAGGAAAATAAAACAATCCCAAACCTCCCTCCATATCTCCTATCGTGATCCAACCACAATTTGTTTTTATCATTTCATCAAATTACATTCAAGACGTAGAAAAAACATGTAAGAGAACTTCATTTGTTCTAAGTCAAATCACTAATAACATGAAAGAAATCCTGCTCAAAAGCTAAGAAAGAGGTTTAAAATAATCTTTTCTTTAACTCATTCTTCAAAGATGTTGGTAAATCAAGTTAGCATGCTACAACAATATTTGATTAAACATTTGATCCACATGTTTAATGTCGATGTTAATTCATTTTCTATTATACCTTTTAGCAAAATGTAGTTTCACCATTTTTCTTTCAATTAGGTCTATTTTTGCTGTAACTTTAAGATCAGTACTTAGAAGAATGCTTGGTACAATGTAGGTGCTTAATATGTTTGTTGATTGACAGACTGAGATCATGTTGGCTACCATTAGCTTTTTTTTTTACACTAAAACTGAAACATAATAGATTCTGTTCTATCCTTTCATTTTAATACTGTGTTTATCTTTATTTCAAGGATTTTAAAAAAATAATGCATTGTTGGATTCTGGTTTCTAATAGATTCTGCTATCTCCTTTCATTTTATGGGTGAGTTCATCCCATTTGTATTTTGTAGTTGTGATTTCTATACTTTTCTTTCTCTTTTTTCCCATCTTGTCCTTAAGAGATTGTTTTGCTTCTAATATCTCCATTAATCTATCTTTCCTCATATACCCTCTGTTTTCCTTAGCACTTTCCTTCCTATTTCCCTCTTGGGGAAATGTATTTCTGTACTTACTTGTGTATGTATATGTAGTCTTCCTTCCTTTGACAAGTTCAGATGAGACTGAGTTTTAAATATCACCATCATCCCTCTATTCTCTCTTTATTCTATACACTTCTACTTGTACATCTCAATTATGTGAGATTATTTTCACCACTTTTCCCCTCCTTTTCTTTATCTTCCAGTGTGTTATCCTTCTCCACCTTTCCAATTGTCTTTGTATTCCCAGAAACTAGCACAATTTCTCACACAAAGAAGGGCTTAATAAATTCTGGTTTATTGACTATGATTGATTGAGTGATGTCAAGGATCCAAGTGGCAAAGTGATTCCACAGTAGCTACTTATAAAACTTCCCTGTCTTCTTATATAAGTTTCAGTGCTTTTACTGATAAATGATGTTAACTCTTTCTTTGTGGGCATTTTGATAAAGAGGAAAGGTCATTAATGGGGAAAAAGACTTATGAACCCCAAAGAAATATTTTTAGACAAATCAATATCTTGACAGTATTCCTCTCTACTTTATGCTTTTCAAGGCATGTACCAAGATTGATTAGAGCAGGAAATAAGATAAAATATAACTTTATAAAATCCATGAACTTTCTTCTACTTCGAGTCAATAACAAATTTGAAAAATCCACACAAAACTGGGCAGTGATTATATATAATGTTCAGACAATCTTACACTTGATTTTTAATGGTTAAGAGAGAGGCTTAGAGACAGTCTTCTATTATATTGAACAAATTAGGATCTTGTTTCAACATGGGGTAAGTAAGATAAAAACCATCTATAAAATAAAGGCTTGGGAAATGAATCTGGACAAGGGTTGACAATGTTTAAAAAATAGCTGGTGGTAAGTGCAATGTACTGTTTATCAAAGCTTTCACAAATACCTTTTGGAATCAAGGCCCTCTTCACTGGAAAGGCAAAGTTAAAACTGAAAATAATAACATAGCCTAAAAAAAGAAAATAATTTGTCTTAAAGGAATTTGTCTTAGAGGAATTTATCTTAATTTTCTTCTGATATGGGAAACCCTATGAGATATATATGTGTATCCATATTTTTGACATCCCATGAGGAAGCATCATGGTATATCTAAAGGAACACTTGGACCAGGGTGCAAACTATAGTTCAGTCACTAACTAATTGTAGGACCTTTGGCAAAACTCTGCATCTCTGACCTTCAGTTTTCTCATTTATTCAGTAAAGATACAACATACAATTGTTCTGAAGAAACTATTTTGCCAACCTTAAAATGTTATATAACTGTGAATTATAATTTCCCTCTGTGGGCCCAGATACTCTTTTTCATCCAAATTTATTAGATCTGTTTTGCAGACCCCATGTCCTACATCACCAAAGGCTGACTCAAGGGAAATCATACACTATCTTTACTATCCCTTTTGACCTATTATTTGAGTTCCTCACCAAGGCAGTTTTTGGGATCAAGACTAGAAGCTAAAATGCACAGGGTCTAAAATCTGTAATAATTAAAAAGAAAAAAAATTAATTGGAACATTTAAAAAGGCAAAATACAAAGTTACTGAGTGATAGGAACAATAACTGATATTCACCTAGCACTTCGAGGTTTATAAAGTCATTTGACCTTCCCTACAATCTTAAGAAGTATACATAAGTATTATAATCATCCTTCTTTTATAGAAGAAAAGAGGGGTGCAGCTAGGTGGTGTAGTAGATAGAGCAACGGGCCTAGATTCAGGAGGACCTGAGTTCAAACCCGGCCTCAGACACATAACACTTACTAGCTGCATGACCCTGGGCAAGTCACTTAACTCCATTGCCTAGCCAAAAAAAAAAAAAAAAGAAGAAGAAGAAACAAGGCTAAGAGATTTGCTCACAGTCACGTAGCTAGTAAGCAATTGAAGCAGGAGTCAAACACAGATCTTTCCTTACTCCAAGTCTAGCACTCTTTCCATAATACTACATTGCTTCTCACAGTAGATGGACCACAAAGTAATCAGACCAGACAAGTTCTTTTGGGTTTCCAAAGACTCCATCTGAATGGAATTCATAATTTTAGAAGAAAAGCATAACTCAAAATATAAACCAATAATACCACCATTAACTGTTTAAACAACATCCAGTGTTTTTTCTAAGGCTGAGCAGCCCACATTCACTTCCAACCTTTATTACAAAGCACGTTAGCTTTCTCTTCAGAAACCTGAGGTTGGGTCACAGCACCTTGGACAGACACTTACTTGGGCACTGTTCTTCCTCCTCCGTTGGCTGTTCCTTCTCTGGCTTTGGTGGCCCTTTGATTTTATATACTAGTGCCCTTAGTTTGCCAGTCCATGAAGTGTCCTCCTCCTCTTCTTCCTCTTCTTCCAATGGAATACCTACCAAATGATAAAAATTGATTGAAAACGTCACTATATCATCTTTACTTAACAGTTATCAGTAATGAACTGCCATATAGCAGAAAAATATACAAAGCATATTCTGTCCGCATCATTAAATATTTGACTTCAGAGACATCTGAGGGTCAACCACAAACAAACCTTAATCTTCCTGTGGTCCTTCTGAATTTATTTTAGATGATTTTTTGAAGCATAAAAGCATCTAGAAACTGTAACTAGAAACTGTAACTAATATACATTCATGTGGAGCAGAGTTCTCATGTATCAAAAACCTTGGTGCCCTACTAAAAGAACAGATTCAGATACAGATTTAGTGAAAACATATCACTAATTGGATAGAAATCAACTGGCTAGAAGAGCCAACGCTGCCTTGTAAATTAAAGGATATTATAACCACTTGAAGACCACAGGATTAGAACATTTAAGCAACAAGGCCAAAATGTGTAAGATAAGGATGTCATCAACTTGTCTTATCCTAGGTTTTGATTTCAAATTTTAAACTTTATAAATAATGGGTATGGTTCTTACTATATGGTCATCTGTGGATGAATATTGCCTCTTTAGGCTGAAAGACATTCTAGCCAAAGTAATTTCCAGGGGCATTAACTTTGTCTTCTCCCTATTAAAAAATTGGTGAAGACTAATAACTTCAAGCAAAGGTAATAATTTTAGATAATTTAAAGATTCCTCAAAATTCTTCATAAGAAATTAGGAAGGCAGAGTCAAGATGGCAGAGAGAAGGCAGGGACTCACCTGAGCTCTCCCCCCAACACCTCCAAAGACCTGTAAATAATGCCCTAAAACAAATCTTGGAAACCCATAAAGGGAAGGGTGAAACAACTTTTCGGCCCAAGACACCTTAAAAGTTTAGCAGGAAAGTTCTGTTTCATGGGGTGAAAGTGGAGCACAGTCCAGTGCAGGCTGCACTAGTGCAGACCAGGCCCCAACAAACCAGGAGCAGGCCTTGGGAGCGAATCAATCAGCAGCTAGCTGTAGTGGCTGCTTCTGGAGCCCTCAGCCCACAGATGGTAAGGGAATTGAACTGATCCGAGGGAGATCATAGGGGTCCCTTTGCTGGCACTAGGGACAGAACTCTGTTGCTTTACCCATACTCAGATTCAGGTTGCAGTCCTGGGACAGTCCCAGGGTGAGTAGGAGCACTAGCACATCAGAGCTTGTAGCCACAGTGGAGCAGGGACCCTCAACAGAATTCCAGAGCAGAAAAGAGTACTTGTGGTCACTCACAGACCACAGTATAGGCCAGAAGAGTAGTAAACACACTTTTCTTTAGATCATAACTCTTTTGAAAAACTGAAAATTTACAGGTACCTAGAAGTGTCCCTGAATACAGTTGCACAAAACCCCTGAAGCTTGAGGCAGTGTGTTCTCCACCCTGGAAGCAGAGGCCCATGTTAATAAAGAATAAAAGTCAAGAAATAGGCTGGGAAAATGAGCAAACAACAGAAAAAATTCTGACCATAGAAAGTTACTATGATGACAAGGAAGATCAAAACCTACACTCAGAAGCAGACAGCAAAGTCAAAATTCCTACATTCAAAACCTACAAGAAAAAGATGAATTGGTCTCAGGCCATAAAAGAGCTCAAAAAGGATTTTGAAAATCAGTTAAGAGAGGTAGAGGGAAAATTGGGAAGAGAAATGAGAGTGATGCAAGAAAATTATGAAAAAAAAGAGTCAATAGCTTGGTAAAGGAGGCACAAAAACTATTGAAGAGAATAACACCTTAAAAACCAGAATAGGCCAAATGGTAAAATAGGTACAAAAATTCAATGAAGAAAAAAATATCTTGAAAAGCGTAATTGGCTAAATGGAAGAAGATATACAAAAATTCGCTGAAGAGGAGAGCTCCTTAAAAAGTAGGATTGGCCAAATGGAAAAAGAGGCACAAAAATACACTGAAGAAAAGAACTCATTAAAAAACAGAATTGACCAAATGGAAAAGGAGATACAAAACTTCACCAAAGAAAGTAATTCTTTAAAAATTAGAATTGAGCAGGTGGAAACTAATGACTCCATGAGATATCAAGAAACAATAAAATAAAACTAAAAGAATGAAAAAATAGAAGACAATGTGAAATATCTTATTAAAAAAACAACTGAAGGGGGCAACGAGGTGATGCACTGGATAAAGCACTGGACCTGGATTCAGGAGGACCTGAGTTCAAATCCAGCCTCAGACACATAACACTTACTGGCCATGTGACCCTGGGCAAGTCACTTACCCAAAATACCTAAAAAAAAAAAGGAAGAAAAAAAAAAAAGAAAAACAACTTACCTGGAAAAGAGATCCAGGAGAGATAATTTTAAAATTATTGGACTTCCTAAAAGCCATGATCAAAAAAAGAACCTAGACATCATCTTTCAAGAAATTATTAGGAAAACTATCCTAATATTCTAGAACCAGAAGATGAAATAGAAATCGAAAGAATCCACTGATCATCTCCTAAAAGAGGTCCCAAAATGAAAACACCCAGGAATATTATAGCCAAATTCCAGAGTTCTCAGGTTAAGGAGAAAATATTGCAAGCAGCCAGAAAGAAACAATTCAAGTACTATGTAGCCACAGTCAAGATAACATGAGACTTAGAAGCTTTTACATTAAGGGATTGGAAGGCTTGGAATATAATATTTTGGAGGGCAAAGGAGCTAGGATTACAACCAAGAATCACCTATCCCACAAAACGAAGTATAATCCTTCAGGGGAAAAAAATGGACACTCAATGAAATAGAGGACCTTCAAGCATTCCTGATGAAAAGACCAGAGCTGAATAGAAAATCTGACTTTCAAATATTAAGACTCAATGAAGCATAAAAAGAAAAACAGGAAAGGGAAATCATAAGGGACTTAATAAGGTTAAAATGTTTACATTCCTATTTGGGAAGACAATACTTGTAACTTATAGGAACTTTTTCATTATTAGGGCAGTTAGAAGAAGGAGTATATATGGACAGAGGGCACAGATGTGAGTTGAATATGATGGGATGCTATCTTTAAAAATGAAATTAAGGTGTGAGAAAGAGGAATTCATTGGAAGAAAGAGAAAGGGAGAGGTAGAATGAGGTAAATTGTCTCACATAACTCATGATGGAAAATGCTATCCACATTCAGAAAAAGAACTATGGAGTTTGAATGCAGATCAAAGCATACTATTTGTGCTCTCTCTCTCTCTCTCTTTTTTTGTTTCTTCTTTCTTGTGATTCCTCCCATTGGTTCTAATCCTTCTTTATAACATGACTAATGTGAAAATAAGTTCAATATGAATGTATATGTAGAGCCTATATCAGATTGCATGCTATCTTGGGGAGAGGCAAGGGGATGAGGGGAGGGGATGAGGGGAAGAAAATTCAGAACTCAAAATCTTATGGAAGTGAATGTTGAAAACTAAAAATTAATTAATTATTTAAAAATTATCTCATATCAAAGATCAAGAAAGAGCTATTACAGTGGAGGGAAAGATGGGGGAGGTGGTGGGGAATGCTTTAACTTTACTCTCACTGGAATTGGCTCAAAGAAGGAATAACATACACAATCAATTCAGTACAGAAATCTGTCTTACCTTCCAGGAAAGTAGGAAGGGAAGGAGATGGGGGTGGTGCTCAAAGAAGGGGGAGTGGATTGAGGAGGCAATAGCCAGAAGCAAAACACTTTTGAGGAGGGACAAGGTGAAAGGATAAAGAGAATCAAATGAACAGGGGTGTGAATAGGATGGAGGGAAATACAGTTAGCAATTATAACTGAAAAAATTTTTGAATCAAGTTTCTCTGCTATAAAGGCCTCATATCTCAAGTAATTTATAAAAAGTGGAGCCATTTCCCAATTGACAAATAATCAAAAATATGCACAGTCAACTTTCAGATAAAGTAATCAAAGCTATCTAAAGCCATATGAAAAAGTGCTCTACATCACTATTGATTGGAGAAATGCAAATTAAAACAATACTGAGGTACTACCTCACACCTATTAGATTGGCTAATAGGACAGAAAAGGATAATGATAAATGTTGGAGAGGATGTGAGAAAATTGAGACATTAATGCACCATTGATGGAGTCATAAACTTATTCAATCATTATGCAGAGCAATTCGGGACTATGCCCAAGTATTTATAACAGCTCTTTTCTAGTGGCAAAGAATTGGAAATTGAGGGGATGCCCATCAATTGGGGATTTGCTGAACAATTTGTGGTATAAGATTGTGATGGAATACTATTGTGATATAAGAAATGATGAGCTAGATGCTCTCAGAAAAACCTGGAGAGGCTTACATGAACTGAAGCAAAGAAAAATGAGAAGAACCAGGAGAACATTGTACATAGTAACAGCAATATCGTAAGGTGATCAACTGTGAATGACTTAGCTATTCTAAGCAATACAATGATCCAAGATAACTCTGAACAACTTATCATGAAAAATGCTATCCATCCCCAGAGAAAGAACTGATGGAACCTGAATACAAATCAAAGCATACTTTTTTTACTTTATTTTTCTTGGGTTTTTATTTTGGTCTGTGTGTTCTTTCATAACATGACTAATATGGAAATATGTTTTGCATGATTATACATGTACAACCTATATCAGATTGCTTCCCTTCTCAATGAGGTGTATGGAGAAGGAGGGAGAAAATTTGGAACTCAATTTTAAATATGAATATTGATGCTGTTTTTACATGTAATTGGGAGAAAATAAAATATTAAATTAAAAAGATTTTTCAAAGAAAAAAAGAAATTAGGAACATAATTTTTTGGGGAAGCAAGAAGCAGTTTTTTTCCTGGCAGCTTACCACAGTGAATAAGAAGATCATCATGGAAGTCATACAGTTCTTCTCGGATCTCCTCTGGACAAGGGCAATTCTCTCCCAATTGAAAATTTAGCAGCATATTAATCTTTGAAAAGAAAAGATTAAAACTGACTGGTTATTTCTTAGTATCATTAATGAGAAATTACACACAACCATTGCTGCAATAACAGAAACAGCTAAAATTTAAAGCAATTGGAAAGGATATACAGAAATCATCTTGGTCACCTCAAGGCAAGATAACACCTAAAGAACCCCAAATAAATGGATGTTTGCTCTGTGACAGATCCCTAGAAACTATCTTATCACTTAACAGCACTGAGAAGAATCTTACACAAACATGTAACATTTTTCCTATTGCAGGTTGAGCCAATTTCCCCTTATGTGGTCTCTTTTAAAAATAAACAGCTGGTTACTTCTGCCTGTCAAGGCCATTTACCTTAACACTCTTGGCTGTTTTTTCTCTTCATTTTGAAAAAACTCAGATATGAAGGAAAGAACCACCCAGAGTCATAAGATGTTAGAGCAGAAGACACCATGGGACCATCTAGTTCAATCCACCTATTTTTTATATGAGGTATTTCAGAAATAGCTTGCCTAAGGTCATACAACAGGTTAGGGCTAGCTGAGACTAAAACTGATGTCTCATGTCTCAGTCTATTGATCTTTTCATTAAACGCTTAGTTTTCACTGGAAAACAGGGCTTCTAAAATTCTCCCTCTTCTGCAGCTCACTATGATGAAGTATTTATATCACCTTCAGAGAATACTAATTCCTTTAGCCATTCCTAAACAATGTGGTATAGCAGAAAGAACTCTCCATTTTGAGTCAGGATCTCTGGGTTTGAATCTTGCCTCACATGCTTATCAGCTGAGCAAACATAGGCAAGTCCCTTAGTCTCAGAGAATGTTTCCCTACTTAAAAATGGGGATATTACTTGAGCTACCTATTTTACAATTTTTTTTGCAACGAAAATGCTTTGCATAGGTCTATAAAAGTAAGAATCATTATTATATAACCTATCTTCTAACCTATCCTTCATTATTTTCTTCTTATTTGTTCTAAATGCTACATGTCGTTTTTTAAATGATGAAACCCCAAATGGGTAGAAATCTCCAGTGAACATCTATTAGATCCTTTTTCACTTCATTAAGGGAGATTTTTTAGAATAGAGGTGTTTGAAGTAAGTTTGAAATGATGGAGCAGAAGAGGATCTGGAAGACTAAAAGAGAAAGGTAATTTCATGAATTGATGATTGTAAATGACTAAGTACAGATGTAAAATAAAAATAGTTTATATTTACACTGTCATTTATAGTCAGAGTGCTTTCAAATACATCATCTAATTTGATTCTCAAAAAGATAGAGTAAGCATCCTCATTTTACAGAAAAAGAGACTAAGGCCCATAAAGGTTTAGTGACTTATTAAGGAAGATTACAAATCTAGTAAATTACAGAGCAAGGACTTGGGAAAACTTAGGCCTTCCAGTTTCAAGTCTACTACATAATAGTAATGAAAGGGCATACGAGATAGCTCATTTAACTGGAGCCTAGGGGTTAGGTGAGGGATAATGTACACGTGGATTAATGAAAGGACAAAATCCTTAACCTCAGATTTGTGAACAGTCAGTAGAGATCATAGCATCTGATTCAGTGATGTGGTGCAGGCTCCATCACAGAGTAATTAAGGAAAAGATACATATGTGTTAATAAGGTGACTTCATCATAGGTTTAAGTAAGGGTTTGTCTATCACCCAAAACAGGACACATTCAGCATTGGCCACAGCAGAGACATGGATGAATACAGTCTCACAAGTACTGCCAAAATTCAACCTGTTAGCATTTGTGAAGACTTCATGAGAGCAATAGACATAGCTTATTTTCTGTTATATTTCCTATATTTGTGTGCTCCCATCTATCTAAAGATCCTCATCATTTTGCTTCTACAGTGTGCATAATATTCTTATATAATAATAATAATAATAAATAAATAATAATGTTCTTACAGGATCTCAAAGATTCACATGCTCTCAAAGGTAGGAACATTCAAGTGAATTTTTTTTTTAAAACAAAGATTTGTGCCTAATTCTTAAGCCAATTTAAATGTACTTGTTAGCCACAGGATCAGAAACTTATGAGTCTCTTCACTCTTTAAACAGATAATAATATTTGTATAGTCCACATTATCCACTTATTATAAGAAATGTGTTTTGTAAACTGGAAATAACAATAGCCCCTATACCGCAAGGTTCTTGTGAAGATCAAATGAGACATTTGTACTCTGCAGACATTAAATGAGTTATATAAATGCCAGCTATTCTTCCTCATGGTCTTGCAGTTCAGTAGGAATTGGATACTAGGTAGGGGCAGCTAGGTGGCGCAATGGATAGAGTTCCAGCCTTGGAGTCAAGAGGACCTGAGTTCAAATGCAGCCTCAGATACTTGACACTTACTAGCTATGTGACCCTGGGTAAGTCACTTAACCCCGACTGCCTCACCAAAAAGAAACTGGATACTAAGAACTGACATTTATATTGCATTTAACATTTGTAGGGCATTTAAAAAAAATGTGATCCTCACGATAACCCTGTATTTATCCTTCCCATTTTTACAGATGAAGAAACTGAAATACAGAAAGGTAATTTCCCAGGATCATGAAGTTTTTAATTTCTAAGTTTTCTGAGCCAAAGTCTTCCTGACCCTAAGTTGACAACCCTGTCAGCTCATTCCCACTGCCTCTCATACAGCAAGCCCTGGGCAAAGAGCCTTTTTACATGTTACCTCTTACCTGCTCTTGTGGAGGAGATCGGAACTCTCTGGTCTTTTTGGCTGTCAGGGCTGCTGACATGTTTAGGGCTTGCATAAGCTCATTGTAGCGAAATTTCTGGTTTGCTTGTAACTTGGACACATAAATGTCACCAAATGCAACAATGGCTTCTACTCGGTGCTGCAGTTCACAGTCACAGAAATAGTTGAGAAGCTCACACATCTGGAAAAAGATGATACATACTAGTGGAAAAATAAGGATCAAGGTTTTTTTAACCTAAAACCCTGTATAACCTACTCCCAATATACAAGTCCAGTCCCACTGGACATTATTTTCTCTCCTCCACTCTTCAATTCAGCCAAACTAGCCTTTTCTCTCTTCCTCACATGCAACCAACACTCCATCTCCCATCTCCATGTTTTTGCACTTGCTGTCTCATTCCTAGAATACATTCCTTTTTTCCTCTGTGCCTTTTGCCTTACCTCTTTTCCTTGAAGATGTAACTCAAATACTATCTTCTACATGAGATATTTCCTGAAGACTTTCCCCACCCTGTGCCTTGCTTCTCAAACTATTTCATAGTCAATTGCTTTGTATGTATTTGTATTTATTCACATTATTATTACTTTTATTTGTATACTTTATTTATGCCAAATATATTTTTATACATGCATGTTTTCTCTTCCATTAGAATGTAAGGTCCTTGCAATTGGGACTGCTTTGTCTTTGAACTTGAATCTCCAGGGCCTTGCACAGGGCCTGGCACAGCAGCTGCACTTAATAAAAGCTGTCTGATTATTAATCGAGGAATAACTGGGAATGGAGCTTACTGGCATCAAGGGAGAATCCACCAAAGAGAGAGGACACTAGTCCTAGGAAAACTTCTACCTGAGTTCTACGCTTACCACAATAGTAGTAACAAAACTGCCTTGATGTATACTTCTCTTCCTAACATGTTACAGTTCTATAGAATAAAAGTACATCGGTCTCTTGTCTTTCTCCTTTCTAATTGCTTCAGTTCATTGGTACCCTTATTCTGAGGTATGTGCTTTATTCATTTTAAATTACATCTCCTGAGTGCCCAAGGAGCATAAGACTCCAGCTTGTGTTCAACAGTATACAATCAGTAACCACAATTAGCTTACATCTGGGACATACATGCTATACGAAAAAACTGGAATTCCTGAAAATGAGATCCACACAGCATATTGTAAGAAATACACTATTCTAAAAAACTTAACTTAAGCTTCAGTGCTCTGGAGCTGTATGTTTGAGAGTATACATACACAAATATATACATACATATGTGTGTATACATATATACACACACATATACATGGATGTGGCTATATAGATATAGATATATATTTTAACAGTGGTGACAGAACTGAGATCCAGAGAGAAAGGATAAGTCAAACCTCACAGTAATTACCTACTATAATCCTAGGGCCTTAGGCAATTAATTAACACACACACACACACACACACACACACACTCTCTCTCTCTCTCTGTCCCTCTCTCCTTCCATACCCATTGTATCAATCCTTCCTTTGTTACTTGGTCTTTACCTGAAGCTTAACAGATTCTGGCAATCGAGTCTGAAGTAAACCTCGAACAGGGGCTGGGGTGTTCTTGCTGGCCTTTTCTCCAGCCTCCACTGCCTTCTCCTCCACCTGTGTCACCTCCTTTTCCAAGGTTTCCTGTGCTTCTTCTGTATGTTCCCCAAACACAGAGGGATCAATGAGGAGTAGGATTTGCCGAACATCATCATTGTCAAACACTCCCATGACCAGCAAGGTCCCAATGAGTTTCAAAACTGGTACAAATTGGAATTCCACAGATCCTCCAACAGGGTCACGGATGTGTGCCCCACTGCACTGCACTGCCTCTGTCAGCATACTCAAGGCCTTGGTCTTGAGAATCTCCAAAGGAATCTCAGGGCTTAGTTTTTGGCGCTCTTCACTGGTTACAATGAAGCAAGGGGTGGAGAAATTGAATCCTGGTTTAAGGCATGTGGTCAGGCCCACCCCTGGTAGCCCATGCCGCTTGGATTCATCTGGGTATAGTCTAATTTTCCGGGTGGTATTGGTGATAGGGATGATGAACTCATTTTTCATCATCAGTTTTCCCTCCTTTGCATGTGCCAGGTGGATGCTTATGAGTAGATCATAGAAGCCACAGCGCAGAAGACCAGGGAGGTACTGGTTATCAATCGTGTAGAAGAGCTGAGACAGTTCTACATGGCTACAGAGGGCATAGGCCACTCGATTGTTTCCTAAGGCACAGACTGCACTATAAAGTTTTAGTGTGTGATAATGGAACCGCATCAAATCCTCCTGTTCACAGAGTTCCAAGATATCCACACACCTGGGAACATAACAAATAATCAACCCATGGGCTAAAAGAAAACAATCCTCTTTGATTCCAAAAGCTACTTACCTAACAAAGGGTGGGAGTGTATGTAATGAAGTAAGGTTCTCCCCTATTCATTTAATTTCAAAACACTCCTTTCTCTTAGAGAGGGAGATTCTCTCCCCACTTCTCCACCCACCCCATTCCAGTCTTTACTGTTTCACATCTTTAGCACACTGTTGGCAAGTGTATTACTAAAAACGTAGATATGAACAACTACCCTTGATAAGGTGCTTTAAGATTATAAAAGTACTTTGCTCAAAAAAAACTTTTAAAAAAGGTAGCATCAGTATTACTCTCATTTTAAAGCTGGGGAAACTGGAGTTTAGAGAATGATTGACTTATCCAAGGTTATACAATTAGCAAGCCTGAGTGAGGATTTGAACCTAGATTTTTCTTAATTTTATGTCCAACACTCTTTTTACTATATTGTGTGGTCAAGTGTTAGATTCTACTCTATCAAAACAACAACATTCTGAAATATTCAAATATAGAATAAAGGTTACATGGCTCTGAGCTGCTCCTTACATTTTAAAAATTAGACTAATACTGACCCTTTATCTTCTCTGGTATATGAACTACTTGGAAAGCACTCTGCTTCTGCTCCAGCAGATCAGGATCTACTGATACTTGCAGGGCTCTGTCTCTTCAAATCTATGAATATACCTATGAACCCCAACCTACCATGCACTACAGGGAACACAAAACCAGATCATGGAGCAGTCTTTGACCAAAAGTCACCACCCTATTCACTAGTATTGTTCCTGATGATTTAATTGTTCTCTTTTGCTTTCTGTTGAACTTGTCAGACTTCGGTCTCTGCTTGCCTACCTGTACTCAGAACAGGCACTTGTTAGGGGTTCCCTATCTTCATACAAACTGTAGAATTCCAATCTGTCTGAATCTTCAACACTTACTTTTATCTTCTGATATTAATTAACCAGCCCTCTGGCTTCAATTCATAGGATCATAGGTCTAGAACTGGAAAGGACCTTAGAAGCCATTAAGTTCAACCCCTACATTTTACAAATAAAGAAAATGCTTGACTAGCTCTCATATTATCTGTCAGCTTGCTCCTACCTAACCAAATTCAGTCCTGAGGTCTTCTGGCCTGTCCTGTCCCAATGCTGACCACATCCAGGTATGAAACCTAGAGGAAGAGATATGAAAGCATCCTAGAGTTTTCTCACTTTAGCTTCCTAGGCCTACCCCTCTTCTCTTTTACCCAATACCTGTTCTCCTCAGGGATGTGGAGGGCCATCATCTGCAGTGGCTCCAGGCATTGCACCATCCAGCCGTGGCGTTCGCTCACCCTTTCCATTTCTATCTTCAGGAAGCTGTTAGGCATACGACTCCAGAGTACAGGCTGTATGGTCTGGACATCCAGTCGAGGGGGACACTGGGGAACAAGATTCTTCTCTTCACTCTTAAATATTGCTGCTGATAGGGGCATTGCATTCTGGAGCAAGTTAGAGAAAAATAAGAAAAGAGAACACATGTGCACTAGGAACTTCTCAATTGTTGGACAATGAGTAGGGGTAGCTAATATGATATTTATAAACTAAATGGGAAATTGGATCATACTGAAAGGATCTCTGAAGTGTTTTGCAATTTTAATTTATTTCAGACTTTTCAAAAGGGGTTATAAGAGGTTATAATTAACCCTCAGAACACCCTACAGGATAATAGGAGGAGAAAGTCATAAGAAAAGTTTCATTAACTGCTTTATGACAGGCTACTGTGAAGTCAAAAGGGAGAATAAAGGGGGTGCTGCTGGTGGCCAAAATCATTATTTAGATCTCTGAGTCCTGAGGGCAACAATATTTGGCTTCTTACTATAAGACCAATACTCCTTCCTGTTATCCACAGCTTCACTTTTAACTTCCAGGAAGGAAGATATAAATAAATACCTTTAACTTGCCAAGTTCAAACTGAACCAATGAAGTGCTTGTGGGTTGCAGGAAAACGGCTGGAAACACTTTGGTGTTGGGCTCAACCTATCGGGAAAAATTAAAAAATGTGATAGCATTTAGAGAATAATGGTAGACTAAGGGTTAGAAGGGTTCTTGAGATGTCACTTTAGCTCTTTCCTTGGCTTAAAGCTGGACCATGTCTAACAATTGCTTGATAAATCTTAACAATTTTCCCTCCACAACAATTCTCATAACTATCTTCTTTTTCTTTACTCCTAGAGCCACTACCAAAATATAGGCCTCATCATCTCTCCTTCAGATAATTATAACAGCCTCTTCATGGGCTTCCTTGCTTCCAGGCTGTCTCACCCTTCCCTGCCCCCTTTAATCTATCCAATAAACAGCTGTAAAAATCTTCAGTGACTTCCTGTTACTTCTAGGTTCTAGAATAACATTATGCTAAATTAATTTGCATTTAAAGCCTTTTACACTCTGGCTCCAGTTTACCTTTTTAGACTTTTAACTCACATTATTCTCTTTCTTATAATCTAGATTGCAGCCACACTTGATTATTTAGCATTCCATCTCTCACCTCTCCGCCACTGGCAGACTTTCCTATGTCTGGAATGCACCTACTTATAAACACGTTCTCCCTCCTCAAATTATCTGCATAAATATTGTACTCCCAACAATCACCCCAGAAGAATGAAGTTCCTTGAAGTCATAGACTATTTTTCTTTTCCTCTTTTTGCACAGTGCCTAGCACAGAAATGGAAGATTAAGTGACCAGTGTGAAGAACAGTAAATAGGCCAGTGAGCCAAAGATGTCTAACTTCTTTAAGTTCCTTCATTCACCTGTAAAATAAGGGGGTGGGACTAACTGTTAAGGTTCACACACCATTACCATACCTCTAAGTAAAATATAGTTAAGTAACTTGTCTATTGTAACATGGCTAGTTGGTAGCAGAGCTAGGATTAGAACATAGGCCACTTATTTTGTGACATTTCCCATCTGACTTACAAAAATGTCATTTATACCCAACTTTTCAGGTAAGTATTTACCATAAAAAATGAGTAACTATAGAAAATAGAACATTTGGGGTGGTTAAATTATTCTAACTATACCTGAGAAGTGTAGAGTGGGAAGAAAAATGATTTCTGGTGTTATATTAAGGCATACAACTCTTTGCTAGTCTAGTTCTCCTCCTATCTAGTCTAGTGCTTCTACTTTTACTAGATTTCAGCATCATCCAGAATCTGAAATCTGGATGAGAAAGATGACCATTTTGATAATCAGGAAGAATATATTAAGTCTTCAAACTATTGGTCTGAACTTGCTTTATTTCTTGGCTAAATTCTAAAACTTAATAGAAAATTTATTCTAAGGCTACTGTTATTCTATTATCATTCTATTACTATTATTAAAACTTAATACTTAGAAAACATCCAATGTGCTGAAGATATTATAGGGAACAAGTCTAATTTTTTGAGGATTAGTCTGGCGGGCTCCTGAGATTCCTTCCAACTCTGAGAATTTTTAACAGACTTATGTCATTATGGAGAAAAGTCTCTAGGGAATACTCTAGGTAGCTGTCCTGAGACTCATTAAACACTCTTATCAATAACTTAATAAAGGCAGAGATGACAGTTATCATATTTTAGACAGCATGAAGTTGGTGAAGTTAGCTATTGTAATGAATAACAAAATTGGAATTTGAAAGGATCTTGACAGGTTATAATGATGAGCCAAATTTAAAAGATAATATTTAATAGGATAACTGTAAAATCTCACATTTGGGCTAAAAAAAATGAATGTATATTATAAGATGTGGCTAGACAATAATTTATGTGAAAAAGACCTGGTGTTTTTAGTTGGCTGCAAGTTCAATGAGTCAAAAGTGTGATGGTGTAGCCCTCCCAAAACAACCCTAATATCTCAGGTTTCATTAAGAGAAACAGTGTCCAGAACGATGGTGGTAGAAGTCTTCTGTAACTCTCTGTCTCTCTCTTTTTTTTTTTTTTTGGTGTGGCAATTGGGGTTAAGTGACTTGCCCAGAGTCACACAGCTAGTGAGTGTTATGTGTCGGAGGCCTAATTTGAACTCAGGTTCTTCTGACTTCAGGGCTGGTGCTCTATCCACTGCGCCACCTAGCTTCCCCTTCTGAAACTCTTACCTGGTCATATCACATCTGGAATACTTGATTCAGTTCTACATAGTATTTTTCAAGAATGACATTAACAAGCTGGAGCATGTACTGAGAAGACCACCCAAGATTTTGAGGTGACTAGAAATCATGCAATAGGAGGAGTAGTTGAAGGAAAGTATTAGAGATGCTTAGCGTTGCCAAAGAAAAATTTGGGAGACACAAAAGGTGTCTTCAAATAACATATAAGCTCTTTGAGGGCAGGTACCATTTTCATTTTTGACTTTGTATCCTTAATATCTAGCACACTGCCTGGTACACAGTAAGTATTTAATAAATATTTGTTCAATTAAACTGAATTGAAAACAATTATTTGAAGAATTTCAAATTATCCAAGTGGAATTAGAAATATTTTGTAAAACTAGGTGCGATATATAAAAATTACAGGTAGGCAGATTTTACCTTGCTATAAGGAAAAGCTTCCAGAGAATAAGAACTGTTGAAAGTGGGATGAATTGCCTTGGAAGACCTTTAGGCAGAGACTGGATGACCTTTTATCAGGGATGTTGTAGAGGCAATTCCTGTTGGACTAGATGTATTTCAGGTTCCTTCCAATTCTGAGATTTTTTTGATTTGGGCTTCTGTTTAGCCTGGGGCTTAAGGAGAATGAGCTTTGCAACTTTACCAAAACCAACAGCATGGATAGCAGATTCTGATGCCAATCTAAAAGGGAATGATGGATGAATACATCCAATTGCTAGGCTTTATACATTTTTAAAATTAAATTTTATTTTTTCAATTAACAAGCATCTATTTTTCTTCTCTCTTACCTCCCCCTCCCCCACTACACACATAAAAAAGAAAAACAAAATCTTTGTAACAAATAGATCCAGTCAAGTAAAACACTGGCCATGTTAAAAACTGTACCATTCTGTACTCTGTGTTGATCACCTTTCTTTCAGGAAGCAGGTAGCAGTCTTCATCATAGGTTCTCCAGGTTTGTGATTGGTTATTATGTTGATAGAATTCTCAATTCTTTCAAAGGTGTTCATTTTAAACAATGCTGATATTCTATAAATTTAATTCTGTTTTTGCTCACTTTACTTTGCATGAGTTCACATAAGTCTTCCCAAGTTTCTCTGAATTCGTCCATTTCATCATTTAATGCACAATAGCATTCCAATGCATTCATATACAATAATTTGTTCAGTCTTTAACCAACTGATCAGCACTGCCCCCACCTCCCCTTAGTCTCCAGTTCTCTGCCACCACAAAAAGAGCTGCTTTATTATATATGAGTCATTTTCTTCTTTCTTTCATTTCTTTGGGGAGGAGATATAAGCTAATAGTGATACTGCTGAGTCAAAGGGTATGGACAATTTAGAAACTCTGCGGCATAGTTCTAAGTTGTTTTTAGGAATGACTGAATTAATTCACAGCTCCACCAAATGCATGTGCATTATATAAAAATGTACCTAGAGTTCCTTGTTCATGTATATTGAAGAGCTGTCACTTGTAAAATTCATCAGCATCACAGCAAGGAAACTCATAGCAACCTGACCAAACTCTACAACTTCTCACAAATCTACTCAAAGGGAGTCAATGTTCTTTAAACTTACAGGATGGGCTTCTAAAATAGTTCTACTTCCATACTGCAGGGCACACCCTTGGCAGGCTGAATGACACAATGACACACTGATTTTCCTCAACAACCAAATCAATATTATAAACAAAGTATGTACTCATTAAGAGGCACTGTTCAATGAAGAGAAGGGTAGTAAGTTGGCTTCTTTTAATAATCTGAGTTGATTTTGCCTTGAAATTTTAAAAACATGTCTTTTTTTATGAATTTGGTTAACCAAAAAAACAAACAAGTATTACCAAATGCATAGCAGAACAACAAAAAAAAGAAGACTGTACGTGAAACTGCAGATCTCTATTATATATAGCTTGCTTTTCCTTTTAAGCATGTAAGTTTGACCTGTAGTTTTCAAAGCTGTTCAGTCTTCTTTCTGGCCTTGAATTTGTTCTCCACATTTAAAAAAAAAGGCACCTCAACGACCCTCTTTCGTCTCTTTTCTTTTTAATAATCTAGCCCAATCCTGCCTCATCTTTGCCATGCCCCAACCTCCACTGGGGAAAAGAAAGGAAAACAAAAGTCTTGTGACAAATATGTGTAGTCAAGCAAAATGAATTCCCACATTGCCTGTGTTTGAAAAATGATGTCTTATTCCACATCTTGAGTGCATCACCTTTCTGTCAAGACCTGGATGGTATATTTCATAACTAGTTCTCTGGAATTGAAATTGGTCATTGCATTGACCAGAGTTCTTAAGTATTTCAAAGTTGTTTTTTTTCTTCAATGATGCTGCCAAATTATTTTCCTGGTTCTATTCCTCTCACTCTGCATCAGTACATATAAGTTTTCCTTGGTTTATCTCTGCCAGTTTAGATGGTGAAAAAATATTCCATTATATTCATATACCACAATTTGCTTATCCATTTCTGAAGAAATGGGAATTCTTTAGTTTCCAGTTCTTTTCTACTTAAAAGAGGGAGCTTCTATAAATTTTGCTTTTTTCTTTTGTTATTTAAATATTTTATATTTTGTAAATCTTCATCTCTACCTCAATTAATTTTTTTGTCATGCAAATAGGCAAAATAATTTCAGATCATTTTCTTTTTACCTTTTCACCTGTGAATTTTCCTTTTTCATTTGGGTTATGAAAAATTTGATTTTTCCTGTCTCTTTTTAAATCAGACTAGTGAGTTAATTTTTTAAATTAGGTTTTTAAAAAAAACTGCTTCTAGTTGTATTTATCAATTTGCTTCTGTTTTTTTAAAAATTTTTCTTTCTATTTTTACTAATTTCTTTGATTTTCAGAATTCTACCTTGGATTTTAGTTGGTGGTCTCTGACTTAATTTTTTTTTTTAAGTTG